TGTCACAGACGTCGATGCAGTGCAGACGGACGGTGTGGCAGTGACGACGGTGAAGTCAGTGGAGCTTCCTGTCGCTGGCTGCGCGCCCTCTCAGATCGGTCTAGGGTTTGTAGGTGGGGTTTGCGGCTCACGGTTAACCTCGTACCTCGAGCCACTGACCCCCACCACTTTATATAGCGTAGTGCGACGAGGGCCCACCAACCATGTAGGGTTGGGCGCCCTCGATCAGGGCGCATGACCAAGGCCCAATAGGCCGTTGGGCTTATTGGCTGGGAGATCAATCTAACAATCAGAAACTAGCTAGTAGCAAGGAGAGTATCAGTTGAGAACTTGAGATCAGTGAGCACTAATGATTGTTCTTGATATTGTATCCTTCGAATGCCAAGTTCAGATTTGCAGTGGAGATTGAGATTTCAAGAGAGATCTGATCACGTCCGAGGGAGCAAACGAAATCTGCAATTTCGATACCGCTCGAGAACAAGTACAAGAATTTCAAATGCAGAGCTTCCATGTGACTCTCATCACATGGAGGTTACCAACAACTCGAACGTAGGGATTGCCTATGGCACATGTTTTTGTGGCATCACCACATGGAAGTAGATGCTACTGGCTGTTTACTCACTGATAAATGAGCCACCTGAAACTCATCATTGGGTTCAGGCATCTAAGATGACCGGCAACAGCATCTTTCCTGACACTGTTTGTTCAGCCCTTTTTTTTGAAGTCTACATCCTTGTATTTGACCAGAATGAAGAAAACATTGGATGCTACACCCTACGATGGACCGAAGGAGTGACAAAAAGTTGACACCCCAAGTTCACCACACCGACCACAACAATACAGGCATGAATGAATGGTATGGAATCTGCATCCTTTGCAAATTGCGATGGAGGATTCTCCCATGCACAGATCTCAAGAACAATTAAGTATCTGTTGCGATTTTGGGCAACTCCGTATGACTTCCTTGAAACGTGCTCCCCAAAAATTCAGTAATAGAACCAAGGTTACAGTTTTCTTTTGCTCTAAAGTATGGTAAATGTTGTGAAATGACACCTACACACCAACAGGCGTCTACAGACGAACATGCGTCTCTTCACAAAGTGATCTCATCCATCAATTATAGGATTAATCGATAGGTTTAGACAGTTAGTTTTAGTCCCAAAGGGCATGTCATTTGGGAACAGTTGTGTCTCTTCGACACACCCCTTCACATGTATATATATCCAAGAGATCAATGGAATTGACAGTTCTCCCAATCATTATTGATTTACATTCACTCTTAACACGATATCACCACCCCTGCATACTAATGGGCATTAGGAATCCTAATGAGGCATTATTATCCGTCATTCGTAGAATACCTCGGATTTCTATAGGGGAATTATATATTGCCCGTATGTTGATCACAATTTGAGGATAATTTTAGGCATTAGGAGGAGATTTATATATAAAAAAAGAATGACGGGAATCAAAAGAGCAATCCTCACATCCACGTACCAAAGAATCTAAACCTAATCATTTAGAACATCTCATATTTACATCATATTGCTAAGAGTCTGCCAGAATCATTTACTGATAATAAAGGGTGTCACAAAATCCTCTTATCCTGCTCGTAATAAGCCCGAAAGAATGGAGGTACCAATTAAAACCATTCAACTCCCACTTCCAAAGAAGAGGGGGAGAAGTACGGCCGCTCCTAAGGATAATGCTCAAATAAACATCCGAGGATACCGAGGACTAGATACTCCAAAACAGTAAATCCAAGCCAACCTCAAGTTGGTAGACACCCAAATGGATGAGCATCTAAAACCCAGATCAAAATCCACCCGGATCAATGGTGCACCCAAATTCTGATCCTGGGACGCTGGAACACCCTGACTCCATATGGAAAATGAGAAGGAGTCCAAAAGGGTTAACATTCTTACATGCTATATTGATTCCAAGCAATGAATCAATTATTTAAAGACTACAAATTGTCGCGACATATACTTCTCAAAGATCGCTCTTCACCTTACTGGATCCAGACCAAAGTCCTAGGCAGAGTGTCTTTACACTCAAATTGGGTCAAAATAAAAGGTGGCAGTTAAAGAGACCGCTCTTGTTCAATGATGAGAAATATTACCACGGTAATGTCTTCTCTCACAGTTTCTTTTTAGAAGCAAGGTGGTGAACAATGAGAGCTTGTAGCATATGGTTTCATGCAGAGACCTAGCATAATATACCTCATGGTATGTGTGAAAATCACATTCCAAAATTCAATCATTGGTAGATCAAATGAATTTGATAGATTCTAACGTATAAGTCCCAATGGACTTCATATTCTGAATTCAAATACAAACCTCAACATACATGGTATATAACTCAAGTCACAACATGACTTGACACAATTAAGTTGGTTGTGGTACAACTTACTGATTGAGTTCCTTCCACAGAAGAATTACTCTAATCATGATTGCGTATATGTGTTTGTAAAGAAATCCCAAATTGGTTCCCTGTCATCTCAGCACATATTGATTATTTTAATATCATCAAGATACAAATATAATTAAGCAATCATTTTAGGTACAATTTCCATTATACGGAGTTGGCCTTTAAGACGGATTTGTGATGAGATATTTGGGTAAAACCAAATTATGCTTAAGTTTTAACTTAAGTACATATATTAGTATACCAATATCCAATTGATATTGTCTATCAATATCCAAATGATATTGGACATCATATCCATCAACTCTTGTGGTCATTCAATCCCTAAATATGGACTTCTATCCATTTAGACCCTGGGATGATAACTTTAGTGCCATAAAGCGCTCATGTATCTTGCAAATAGCAACAGGCCTGATATTGCATTTGCAGATACCTAGCTAGCACAAAATAGCGCAACTTCTACGACACTGAAAGATGAGAGTTAAAAATGATATCCACATATATCCATATGGTAGTAAAGACTTTTAGTTTATTATTAAATAAACTAAGACACGACCTAAGTGGGATATCAAGATACTGGCTACTTAATTCCCTAATGCCAGATTATATACTGATTTTATTATAGTAGAGTCTCCACACACGAGTCATCAAATTTTGACTCCAATGGTTACTTCCACTTATCATTCTGAAGCATCCTATATGCATGACTTCATAGAGTGATCAGATGTGATCCCATGGGATCATCAACCATTATTTACAAAGATAAGGTTGCTTGTATTGTCAAGATGCAAACATGTCATATAAGAGCAATATGATTAAATATATTGCTCAAATGTTTTATCCCCATAAATTAAAACACATTGGGAAATAAACATCTTGCCAAAGTAGTCTTGCGATATTTTTGCAGATTCACTCACTAAGTCCATACCTACATCCACATTTCATGAAATTGGTATTCAATGACTTTGAGAGATGCAAGGTTCAGGGGGTTTCTCCTGGATCATAACCTGTTCAAACATCATGTTGTACTCTTTTCCCTTTATGAGTTTTTCTCACAAAGGTTTGTCATAAAAGGTTTTTAATAAGGCAATATCAATACAAGAATGTGTCATATTTTCTATTCTCCCCATCAGTTTTTTTTGTTGAAAATACCAAAGGCACATATTGGCCTCACAACTCATCCATGGTTTTTCCCTGAAAATGTTTTTCATGTGAGTTATCCAAGAGGCAATTCCAATAATATTTCGTCATATTTTCTCCTAATTTTTCCACTGGGTTTTTACCGGAGTTTTAGCGGTATATCACTTTATATTGCTCCTCATATTTTTTTCTAAAAGGTTTTTTTGGAGTTATCTTTATGTCGTATCTCCAATATTTTTTCCCCACTGATGTTTTTAATGGGATACCAGTGACATAGTGGTTTATTTAAATCACAAATAAATATGCTATTTTCTCCTTATTTTTCAATAAGGTTTGAAGGAGTTTTTATGGCATATCTATCTATTCCTCGGATTTTTCCATTGAGTTTTTCGAGGAATTTTAGCTTACAGCTGCATTGATCTCAAGAAAGATTGATAAGAAGGAGTGTTGTGAAATGACACATACACACGAACAGGCGTCTCTTCATCCATCAATTACAGTATCAATGGATAGAATTAGACAGTTAGTTTTAATTCCAAATGACATATCCTTTGGAACAGTTGTGTCCCTTCGACACACACCTTCACATGTATAAATATCCAAGAGATCAATGGAATTGACAGTTCTCCCCATCATTGTTCATGTACATTCACTCTTACCAGTAAATTCTAAATCGGTGACATAACAAGTTATCAGTTTAGTTTCTATAGCGATCTTCTCATTCAAAGATGTACAGAGAGTTCAATTGAAGCGTGATCTATATTCTACTGAAAGATTGCAAGAGATTTTCTATTCTTGAAGGCATGTTTTCGAATTCAAACGTCTGTTCACCTGAACACAGCTACTGCATCTTCAGCAATCCCAAACAAAAACACAAAAGGGTTTCGGCCATATTCGCTTATCTTATAATCCGTCTTTTTCAGTTTGTTTTTTCAGCCGAAACGGTGTTTTTCTCTCACAACAAATCAGCCGGAACAGTGTTTCGGCTTGTTTTTTCAGCGAAGCAAACAGGGCATGTGGCCGTCGATTTGGTATCTAATACATTCTCATCGGCACTGATCAGCTCTGGTACTTTATCAAGTAGCCGGTTCATCTCTTCAGAAAATTCAAGTTTGGCTCGATTTGTCTTCCCTCCAACGACTACTGTACTTCCATCTTGCAATGCCCATATCTAGTGCAGCAGGAACCAAACCATAAATTTGTATCGGTGGAAGCCAATTACAATTCTGTCGTCAATAAGAACCATGAAAAACAATAACACATACCTGAGAGTGTGAAAGATAGCTAATGCAGGTCGTTAACATAAGTGCACCAAAACCAGCATAAACAATAGGAACTCCTGGATCAGTCTGATGGAAAGGGGGAAAAAAGAAGACACTTCTATTAACTGACAAGCACAAATGTCTTCAAAAATAAAAATGAAAAAGAATGAATCAATAGGCGACCTTAAGATCCAGTCCAGTACTGCCAATAGCATCTTCAATGAGTATTTCATTGCCATTGATCACAATAGGCAGTTTCGAGCTTCGCCGACGGACCCCTACAAACTTACCCTCTTGATCATACAACACGATAGACTGCAAATCTCGGGCAAGCATTGATCTACAAGTCACCAAGGAGGCAAACAACATATAATTACTCATAGTATGTCAACTTTTTTTTAAGTCAAAATGAGATAGGAAAAATTACTAAACATACATTCCTTTGACATTTGGATTCGATGAGTCTGAATCTTCAAGTGGCAAGAATGTCCCAAAGAGCTTCTTATCCCCATTCAGTTTCAAGGGGGCCATCGCCAAATTGAAAGGGCCTTCACCATTTTTCTTCACTTGCAATGCTGAAAATCCCCAGTCTGTCTGGTAGATGGTGATCCCTCCGTATCTCAAGGGATCGTTTACTTTGATAGTCTTCCTCATCACCTCTTTACCATCAAGGTTGAATAGAGAGAGATCACTGTAAAATTGTGAGACCTGGCAATCCAACAATATTAGTTGCCAATCAATCTAGCGCATATAACTGCACAAAAATGTTTGAAAACACTGAGCAAGGAGACCACCTCTCCACTATCATAGTACTCCATGTAGAACCGGTTGACATGGACTTCAGTATTGAAAACATCCGGCGCAACAGAGAGGACCCCTCTAGGTTTCATCACGTCTCCTATAACAAAGTTCAGCCCTTGAGGCACATCCACGGAACCTTTGAAGCTTCCTGTCGCACTTAGCGTGGCACCAGCCATGATGAAGAGCATCGCCAAGTGCACGCCGATAGGCGCATACCGACCAGCCAGCCCTTTGAAAGCATACAAAGATGGCCCTTTGGTGAATACCTGCAGGAACAGATCATACAAGCATAATGCAAAGGCCAGTTTATTTCAAAAAAATAATGCAAAGGCCAGAGGTTGGAGTTGGATAGAAATCATTGTGGGTGTCAATCACCTCATATCCAGCACCCATCAAGATGACTCCCAAATCCTGAATGGATGCTCGGGGAAGAGAATCCGCAAACTCCTGCTTCCGTATTTTTTCTCCGGAATGTGTGAACGACCATCTGCAATGACACACCGGCACTTGATGTCTCACCCCATGGGCATGGTTCACTGATCGGCCTACCAAGAAGTGATACAAGAGGGCAGCCGTACCTTCTTGCGACCTTGACCATGGGGAGCTGGGTCGTGTAGGTGCACGCCATGAGGTCTTTAAGATTGCTATGTCCCAATCTATTTCTAGGATTTTTCTTAAGATTATTAGAAGATCAAAAATATTTTTCCTGTTAAGCCTTATTGGGTACTCCCTCCATACCCATAAAACAAGTCGTTTAGGACATGATTGTGCTTAACAAGGAGTTATTAATTAGAGGGTATTTTTCCATCCTTGCCCTTGTTAAATAGAGCTGTGGGTGTTACCTGTACAACATCCTTTCTTAGCTGGAGTGGCAACGACTCCGCGGCCTGCCGTCCACGGTTCGAGCGCTCCAAGCCTCGTCTTTTTTGAAGCCGTCGTCAATTTTGCATGGCGTTGTGCTGAACGAGGTTGGGCGCGTGTGTTCGTGTTTTGGTCGTTGGCGCGCGCGTAGAGGCTCGTTTGCTCCTCGTTTTTTTTTACGTTTGCGTCGATTTGCTTGCGTGCGCGACTGCTGGCGCGCGACTGCGGCGGGCGAGCGAGCGTTCTGCTGGAGAAGACGAACAACGTGCAGCGAACGGTTAGATGGCAGCGTCGATCGGGCTGCTGAGTTAACACGAGCGCCCCACGGTTACGTCAAACGAAGTGCGATTAATGCGGAGCGGCGACTGGAACGGGAGCCGAAGCGAACGAGGGCAAACACGTCCAACTTGACGGTCACCAGCCCAGAACGACTTGTTTCGTGAAAACGTCTACCAAGCCTAGAACGACATGAATTCTGGGTATGGAGGGAGTATTTATTATACTTTCAAAACTAAAAAAATGATGAAACATTCTTGAAGACCACTTCTAAATTCGAGGGATACAATTTAAACAGTTTTAAGAGTTGAGGAGGGCATAAAAATCAAATCATGGCAATAATTCATCAAATAGGTATTCCAAGTGTTAGGAGCGTACGTGGAAAGGCTCGGGTTTCATGGGCAGCACGAGGACATTCGTCCATGTCATTTTACGCCCCGAAGTTCTAGCACTCAGGGAATCAGAAAACTCCAGTTCCAAAAGCAGAATTTTGAGACGTATCGGACCCACGAGGCCAGGAAGATAAGCACGTCGACCCGCGCGCCTGCATTGGTCACAGTCACAGCATATGAACGCACGGTGCACACACTAACAAAAAGAACAATCGCTCGCGGATCCTGGTTTTAAGGTGCTATGTCATTAACTGAAGATTATGAATAGATTAATTTCTCCTCAACAAAGTGCCTTTATTCAAGGTAGATATATTTTAGAGAGTGCTGTGATTGCTCATGAATTAGTACATAGTCTTAATAAATTATGCGATCCTGGTTTAATCATGAAATTAGACTATGAGAATACATATGACTGAGTTTCTTAGATTTTTTTTGTTTGAAATCCTTAGGACTAGAGGTTTCAGTAACACTTGGATTATTTTGATTAGGCATTTAGTCATTGGAGGCTCTGTAGGAGTCAACTTTAATGGTGAAGAAAGTAGTTTTTTCAAACCTAGGGAAAGGGTTAAGGTAGGGGATCCTATCTCTCCCTTGCTTTTTAATCTAGTAGGTGATGTTCTTACAAAAATGCTCCAGAAAGGTGCTGAGAAAGGTATCATTAAAGGGATAGCTGAAAACTTTAGGGTAGGCGGTATTGTGTCTCTGCAGTATGCAGATGACACCATTCTTTTTTTTAGTATTGAGGAGGAATACACTAGGAACCTCAAAAGTATCATCTAGTTTGAACAGTTGTCTGGTATGAGGATCAATTTTTATAAAAGTGAGTTAATTCCGATGAATGTTGAACCTGAAGCAGTTCATAATCTTGCTCATTTGTTCTCCTGTCCGGTTGGTACCTTACCTATCAAATATTTAGGGGTCCCTTTGCATTATGAGAAGCTTAGTAGGGAGGACATTCAGCTTTTAGTTGATAAAATGTTGAAGAAAATGGCTGGTTGGAGAGGTAGGTTGTTGTCCTACGCTGGGAAAATAGTTCTCATTAAGTCTTGTTTGGCTAGTATTCCTGTATACTTACTTTCGTTTATTAAATTTCCTAAGTGGGCCATTAGAGTTATACACTCTCATCTTGGTAATTGCTTATGGGATGATAGCCCCACGTCCCGTAAATTTCATTTGGCCAACTAGGAGAGTGTCCGTATGATGAAAGAGTATGGAGGCCTAGGTGTTCCTAACTTGAGAGATTTAAATTTGTGTCTCTTAGCTTCTTGGGTTAAAAGGCATAATCTAGATGGTGATAAGATGTGGAGACAGTTTTTAGACTTCAAGTACAATACTGATAGACCTAACATCTTTTATAGTTCCTCCTCTAGAGCCTCTGAGTTCTTTAAAGGTTTGATGAGAGTTGCTTCTGTAGTAAAAATGGGATATAGATGGCATATAGGAAATGGTAAGAAGTGCAAGTTTTGGGAAGATAATTGGTTAGGTTCTTCTAATCTAGATATTCAATATTGGGAGATCTACGTGTTAATTAATGAGAAGGATGTTACGGTTGCATCCACGTGGGATGGTATTGATTTGAAATGCACTTTTAGAAGATGTGTCGATGATAGATTATACAATCTTTGGTTAGAAGTGGTCCAGTTAGCTTCTACTATTAGCTTTACTGATGAGGAAGATTCACTAATATGGCAGTTTAATTCTCATGGTGTATACTCTTCACGGTCCTTATATAAAGTCATTAATTTTAGGGGTATTTCTCCTGTGTTTGTTCCTGTTGTTTGGGCACTGAAGGTCCCACCTAGAGTCCATTTCTTCCTGTGGCTGTTATCTAAAAACAAGGTTCTGACTAGGGATAATTTGAGTATCAGGAAGAAAATCAAGGATCCTACTTGTTTGTTTTGTTTCAGAGGCTGAAATTGTTAATCACTTATTTTTTAACCGTGTAGTAGCTAAACAGCTTTGATCAATTCTTTCTGAGATCTTAAATAGACAAGTTGGTACATATTTTGTTTCTATTATTAGCACTATGTGGATTAGTAATATGAAATTCATAGTGGAAAATATTTTTTTGTGCTGCTGCCCTACGGGGGCTTTGGAAACTAAAGAACAGCTTGTGTTTTCAGGGGACTCTCTGGGTAGATGTGCGCGTGCTGATAATGAAGATAGCAGCAATGCTGTAAAATTGGAGTTCTCTGTGTCCGAAGGAGAAAGTCTCAGATTTTCTGGATCACCTAGACAAACTGAAAAGTTTCGCCACAAGACCTCACCGTCTACCTGGCTTGGTCGGATGAATGATGAATGGGATCGCATCTTATATTAACTGGAGAGGCTGGAAGATCAGTACAGCTGATGCTCTGCTGACAAATGAAGTTGATCTGGAAAGGTTGGCTCGTGAAAGAAACTGGTTTAGTGTTGCGAGTGTTGTGGAAGCCGGGGATGTAATGATGTTAGTGCCTGTTTAATTCCTAAAATTTTGCAAAATTTTTCAAGATTCTCTGTCACATCAAATCTTTGGACGCATGCATGAAGCATTAAATATAAATAAAAAAATAAAACTAATTACACAGTTTAGACGAAATTCACGAGACGAATCTTTTAAGCCTAATTAGACTATGATTGGACACTAATTGTCAAATAACAACGAAAGTGCTACAATACTATTTTTCAAAAAATCGCCAACTCAACAAGGCCTTAGTTGTTGTTCTGGTATTCTGGGCGGTTGTTTACCTGTTGAGGCCTTCTGAGATTTTGTTGGAGTTTTGTTAAACTTTGAATATTGTAAGGAGCTTAACGGTTTGGTCATAAAGGCCAGAGGGCCACCCTTGAACTTAAAAAAAATCGCTCGCATCAACTCTTTGATTGGAACCTTCGTACGTACGCATGGCTTCTAGAATTACAGCGCGCGGTCCATGTCAGGTTGGACCCTTGCCGTCACGGGTCGAGTCGAGTCATCGACAGGTGAGCAGCTAGCAGCGGGTAAACGAAAAGGATTCCGCCCCCACGTCGGTGGTGGTCGGGCCGTCGGGGCAGCTGACGGGCATCCAATGCGGCAATGCGCATCCGGTTTTGGACTAGGAAACACAACAGACCGCACGGCTACGGCGGCCTACCACGCGTAAACGAAAAGGATTCCGCCCCCACGTCGGATGCCCGTGGCGCGGTGGACGGATAAGCGAGGCGGCGGCCGGGGGGGCGGGGGCGTACGAGTGGGGACGGTGCATGGGCGCAGGTGCAGCTCCCTTGGGCCTCTTCTATTGCCCGCTGTTTTATACGTGCCCGCTCGGTCGCTCCTGTATTCCTGTGGTTCTGGAAGCCGCTAGCGCTAGGTTCCTGGGCTGAGTGAGACGTCGCACCGAAAGCCTACAGAGAATCGCGCACGCGCACCGCCGCACCGGGCTCCCGTGCGTGAATGGATTTATTACTATATATATTATTTATTACATTTATTTACTCCTAGTAGCTACATTATCTTTTGTGACAGAAGCCTGAGTGAGTGAGTGAGTGGTGATTGCTCGACGCACCATACCTCGAACTCTAACGCTCACTCGCTCACACAAGTTAAACCTAGTTCCTTGGCGAAAAGTCAATTTCAATTTCAATGGGAGCACATCACTAGGCCGCACCAAACTGCGATATATTTTCTTTAGACAAGTGGTGTAATATATAAACATATACCTCATGTATCCTGATATGTGCGTGGTGGGCCGAAGGTTAACTAGGTGGGGGCGAACGAGAGCCTAATAATTATCGGTGAAAGAATCAGGACCTACTCCGTAAATAAATCTTTAACCGGTCCATAGTTCTCTCTTAGCTCTAACTATCGCAAATGTAGTCACATCTGACCAATTGAACGATGCGAGGAAAGTATGGAAAGAATGCACACATGAGGCTTGGCTGCAAAAACATATGAAGTGGCTTTTCTGAGAAAGGAAAAGCGAGGGATGAAAGCAACTTGTCAAGAGCAGAAGGAACGGAAACGAGGTCATGGTAAATAAGAAAAGGAAAACGATTCAAATCCACCCCCCCCCCAAATTTGACATATGTTTGAGTAACTCTCTGAACTAGATTTTGGTTTAATCTATTTAATCTACTCCCTCAGCTACTTTAGTAGGTCTAATGTATCCTGTAATAAGAAATTTCATTTATGTTTCTCCATGTATAAGTTGATTTTTAAGTTAAAACTTGTTAGAGTGATACCAGACTCCATGTATTAGTTATGCTCAAGAATCACATTTGAATTTTTGGTATTGTCCTAATTTTTATATATTGGTTAATTTGTTATTATATGTTCTCATGTTGTCACCGGTCAAAATAAAAACAAAAAATTCATAGTGAATATTTTAACAATTTTTTTTGTTCATTATACCTTGCATTTGTTTTGCTTAAAATTCAATTGTATGTGGATAAACAAAAAAGATAAAGTTTATTAACAAGTAAACTAAACCAACTAAAATACTTGGAGATAGTAAATCAAACAAAAATTTGGTCTACGGGGTTAACTGGACACATAGCTAGACTTCTTGGGGGAGTAATTTAGACTTTTTGCATTGGGTGTCTAATGGTCTCAAAACTTCAGTATCTAGCCCAATATACAGATTCTCACCATTTCAAGGAACTACTAGTATTGTGTGGTTGTATAGGAATTGTCTTAATCATCTAGGACAAGTTTGGTTTATTTCCTTGCTCACATTTCTCCGTATTCGCCTTTTTTTTAGATTTGTGTACGACATTTGCTCGCAGTGCCAAAATTTTAGTTCCGCAGTGGCCAAAGAAGACCCTTAACGAACATGTACTGGGGTCATAATTTCAGTATGTTAAGGCACATGGTTGAGCACGTGCTTAAATCCGCAGACACTTACGTGGGATTGTAGCTATCTTCCTATAATCCTTACCTCCACGCTACGTACCAGTCAAAAAACATAAAAGGAAAATTGGAGTTTTCCGAGTCAGCACGATGGACTACACTCCACTGCAGCTGCCACGTCACACTCTGGTTTTGTGTCAGTGTCACTCCCTCTTCGTCTAGAAGCCCAACCACTTAAAAAAACCGCGAGACGCCGAATTTGCTGGGAGACCCGATGGTGGTGGGCGCGAGCACGCAGACGCAGCTGAACCAGCCCACAGCTTTGCCCAAGCAAAACCCGTAGTTTCCAGCCCCCCATGCCAGTAGGGAGTTGCTAGCGCGCGCGCGCGCGCCGACGTCGGTCACGTCTTCCTCTCCGGTCCCCATCACCCAACCGGCTCCGGCCGCCGCGGGTCCCCGATCCCACCACCACCAGGCACCAGCAATGATATAAAAGCACAGGTGCTTACCAGAATCGCTAAACCTCAGAGCCACTCCATTATTGTTTCCAGGAAAAGCTCCGCACCCAATCATTCTGCCATCATACAGCACTAGTTCGCACGACGCTTCCGCCGCCGCGCTTTGCTTTCTCCCGCTGTTCCATTCGAGACGCTTGGTGGTGGGGATGAGCCGGGGGAGCAAGCTCCGGTGGCTGTGGCGTGCGCCGGCGCGGGCGCTGGGGCGGGCGCGGGACCTGTACGTGCGGGGGCTGACGGGGTGCGCGCGCTACGTCCCCTCTGACGCCGCGTTCGGGTACCCCGTGTTCGTGCCGGCGTCGCTGTCCAGGAGCCACAGCGTCGACGACTGGGGCGCCGGGTCCGGCGCCGACGAGGACCTGCGGGAGCTGGTCCGCGCCGCGTCGCAGCGCCGCGTGGAGCAGCGGCGCGCCGAGCTGCAGGCCGTGGCCAGGAGCCAGAGCATGGCCGCCTCGCTCTCCATGGCGCGGATCGACGAGGACGCGCCGTGCGAGTTCGGGGCGGCCGCCGACGGAGACGGCCCCGGAGCGCTGTACCCGAGGAGCCAGAGCTGCGTCGGCGACGCCGCCGGGAGGAGGGCCCACGCCCACCGCGGGCACCGGAAGGTGGTGGCCTTGGTCTGACGGAGCTGCTGCTTCTGCTTCTGGCTGCTGCCCGGCCGCCGTCAGAGCCACAGTGTGTGCGATCGTGTCATGCGCTGTCTTTGATCATGTCAATACTCGAAAACTTTGCTGTCTATTGAATGTGCAAGCATCTGCCATCGTTTCAGCGTTGGATTCCCCAGCAATTCATGCACAAGCAGCAGTTTCACCTGGGCCTCGTTCACTTTGCAAAAAAAGTGAACCCGATAAATAGTACCACTTTTGTCTTATTTGATAAATATTGTCTAATCGTGGACCAACTATGCTCAAAAGATTTACCTACATTTAATACTGTGTAATCAAACAAGGCGCTGGTCTCTTTTGGGCCTTTAATTTTGGCAATATTTGGCGCCTCGCGTTTACGAATAGCACTTGATCGCTTGCACTCGAAGGTCCGGACCGAGCTTTGCGCTCAAGAGGCAGGGGAGTTGGGTGGAGCCGGGCACGGCCAGACCGCCAGAGGTGGGATAATCACTCTTCTTTACTCATAGTCTGAAATTATACAAAACTCTAGTTAACAGTCCTCGTTTGCATTGCACATTAAAAGTGCAGTAACAAAAATGGCATGTTCTTTTGCTAAAAAATGGGCAGATTGTTAAATTTGGCCTGAAAATGGACATACACAACTTTCATTCGTTAGGGTACTCCTTGGTTGTCAATTTGCTTTCACTGGTGGGATGAGAGGAGCTAGCGTGCAAGCTGAAGTATTGGCTTTTTAGAAACAACTTCCGATTATATTAAAAAGAAGAAATCTAGACTGTACAGTACAATGAAACAATAATGACCCTGAAGGATCTAACAACAACACAGCTGAAGTAACCAAACAACTGAAACAAGCTAACGACAAAGGCCGGTTGGAATGGGAACTTACCATGCGCCATAGACACGTCAACTCGCACCCAGCACTGTTGTACACCAAGGAACTCAACTGCCCCTCCGAAACTCCCCGAGATAGCTAGCTGATTGCTACACATTGTCCGGATGGCAGAGTGGTCAAGTTGAAATACCAGTCACCCCTTGCGCTACGTGATTACCATGATTGGGGAAAGTGGAGCCAGCAGAACAAAGCTGGTGAGTAAATTGTACGGCAGTAGGTAAAATCATCATACGCACTACAGATGGAGAAGAATGTTCCAAGGAGAATATTAAGGACACCCTGCCCACAGGAGAATTTCAGAGTAGCCACCCTCACCGTATCAAGGAACTATAATTGAGGTTACAAATTTTGATGAGAAAGTAGTCATCAATCTGTTCAAAGGAAACCTTCTTAACAAATGACAGAAATGAACTTCCTGTTGTTGCTTTGGTCTATTCCAGGTCACTTACCACTGACCTGGCATACGAGGGTGTCGTGTAACTCCCTTCGTCTTAATGAAACACATGTTAAGGCTTGTTCATGAAAAAAAACGAAGCAATAGAAAAATACAGAAAGAGGATTTTGGAGAACACGAAAAGGTTGCGGCAGTTCTTCCCAGGAGTAACAAGGCTAACAAAAAATGACATTGCCAATTCTCAATCAGGTACGTGACTAAAATCAAATGAACGTTCGAGCAAACTAGCTTAGCAATAGCGATTCATACCGTTATTATCTCCTAAATTCTCGCAACTATGCAAGGAATCACCTAGTATGTATTAGTATGTACTATGTAGTATGTTGAATCTCATACTATTGATCCGTGTGAGTGTTCACATCCAAGCGATCATGCAATTCTTGGATAAATAGGGAAATGGTACATTTGGAGCTGACTGTTCTGGGGAAATGCATCTTGGGTACCGGTAGTTGGACGTCCAAAGTTGCCACCCACGCCACGCCACGCCCTCGCAGGTGACGAATAAAGAAAAGATGGGATTGCCGCAAGCGGAGATGCCTCAATTTGTGATCCGCGCCATCAGTTTAGAATTTAGTCGCAGGATAGATATCACCTACATGGTGATGTCCAATGTCGTCAACAGTGGCGCATCTAAGATTTTATCTAAGAGTATGCTGCACAAAAATATTCATATGTAATTCGGTAAACGATCACAAAATTTATAACATAATCCGATATACATGCACAAAATAATATGATATATTTTAAATTTAAAGATTAAATTGGAAGCTTCCACGTATTACAATATAAATAGTTTAACACCATGCTGATATTTAAAGTGAGGCATGAAAGAGAATAAAAAACTTACAATGGTCTTTGTCTAAATTTTTAAGCCGATCCTTTCTAATAGATATCAAATATGATTGTCTTGATTATTAAAAAGTTAAACAATGTCTTCGCTTCTCTTCATAAGTGGACAATTCTTAAAAAAAAAGCAATGTAAATCACATGCAATCCGGATGATAGAATCACATGGCGTAGTCTGCTACAATTATAAACATACATGATACAAATATTTGATACTGATGTTCGGTGATTTACACAAATAATGACAAGTAGGAGTAATCTCCGGTGTCCATGATATACACAAACAAATGATAGATAATTAATTAGGTAAAATTCTTAGAAAAAGTAATAAGATCAAATCAAGAAAACGCAAAGCTGTTACATGTCAGATTTACAAGTATATGCTTGCCGGAGTACTGGCAGTAGAATTATTTCAGCTTCTTGTTCTAGCTGTCAATTAAGTTGTACTGTTTTCTAGCTAAATCCTGATCCAGACCTAATTAACACCAATTAGCCTATGTATTGTAAAGCTTGGTGTGACTCTGATCGGACTCCGACTCTCCTGTCGACATGGCTAAATCTGAGGCTCTCGATGGGTGCTGGGCGGCTGGCTTTTGTTACCATGCTGACGACCGGACGACGAGGACAGTAGGCACGGGTGCAACACTTGGCGGTTTAGATGGGATCGTAACTCGCAAGTCGCAAGGCAGGACAGGCAAAGTGGCGCGGGTCTGCGACAGTGCGGCGCTTGTGATTGTGACTCTTTGTGGCACAACCGCCCGAAATAACACGCTTTTAGAGGCGCTCGTCTTCCACTAGACACTAAGCACCTCGAAAGTGAGCTACATCGGACAGTTCTGTCGAGCACACCCCAAGGGAGAACTCGAACAATCCACGTTTTACATCCAGAATCCAATAATGATTACGAGCTTACAATACTTAATCCATTTCATACGACAAGAGTTCTTGGAAATTATTTATTATAATACCATAGTTCAGAGTGCGATAATTAAACAGCGGAATGAAAATAAACATCTAGCAAAAACGATACAGGGATCCGTCTGTGCCTAGCAGAAGAATCCTCCATACAAGAGTTACTCCTCAAGTTGCACCTGCAACAGGGGTAAAATAAACCATGAGTACACAATGTACTCGTAAGACTTACCTGACTAGTAAAAATAGTTTCCCGACTCTCAAAGATATGATAGGCCATATAAATTTGTTGTTTTCTTTTTGTTTATGAAAAGCTTTACTAGAAGTATGTCCTTAAGATCAAGTTTAATTAGCAATCATGATTACTTCATTAGCTAACCATTCTAGGTAAGCACATGTTCTACTTTCAAGCAAGGGTTAAGCAATCAGAACCATTTCATCATATTTCATCTTCTAATTCTTACTACGCCGCTAGACCATAGCCAAGTCATACCATCTCACAGACAAGGCGATTTGCGAACCAATGTATCCCAGCTGGGTACCCCGAAACACACGCCCCGCTTGTACCCTAGGCACAAACAAGGCCAACCCATCCCACTCCTGTCACGGGGTTCAGGTCCCCATCCAAACTTGGACTCCAAGCCCCCACACTTGAGACCCAGTCTTAGTATGGTGCTTAGACCTCCACCTTTCCCCGCCTCCAATCAGTCGGTCCGAAAAGAGCCGGAACCCACGACAAGAGCGTAACAAGCCTTCTCGCTCCCATAAGTAAGTATGTGCTCAGGATAATAAGTCTGTGACCTGACTACCATCCACAGCAATGGATGGTCCTTAATCGACACGAATAGGAAAAACAGTGTAACCCAAGCTAAGCCCCGTTGGTCGCGGGACACAACCTGTTACACCCACCAATACCCATACTATATCACTGCCCTGTCTATATTTTTTCTTTCATCATTTTATTATGAGAGTAATAATAATCCCCTATTGTGAGCAACGGCAGGTTACTCACGCTACAGATGACCTAAGCATAACATCTACTCAAACCTGCACTAGTAAGACTCTTAGGACATGTGTATCTATGCATGTGGTTTTCATAAAATTCCTATAACATAAATGCACAACACACACATATATATACGGTGAATTATAAAATAGAGGTTATGTACCAGGGCTTGTCTTGGGCAGGCGCGGTGTCATCTGAGTTAGTCAGTGGTGGCTCCAGGACCTCTTTCTGCATGAGAATCTCCTCCTCGTACTCCTCGATGATCTCCTCGAACTCGTGATCACCAGTGGTCATGATCTCTGCAAACTCGTTCTCTACATGCATGCGATGATGATGCAACACTTAGCATTCAGGCAACACCAACTCTTAAACTAAGAATGTGCATACCAAGCTACTAAACTAGCTCTAATGACTAAGATACTAAGCTAACTATCATCTTCATCAAGCAAGACGTTGGATTCAACTAACAAACACTCAGTTTTGCAATTTAAGGGTATATCTTTATTTCTACTAGTGATTTAATGTATATTGAAACGAAGAGCATTTAACTCCTTCCAATTTACAACTAAGTACTAACACTATTTTCCCCTCTCTCAGACCTTCTCACTTAACCCCTTGGCTTTTTCCTAATTCACCCACGCGCACCCTAAGCGACTCAGCGCACGGCGGCGCGGCAGGCGATGACACGACGCGACTGTGCCGGCCACCCGAGGCTCGCGCTGGCCCGTTGGTCGGGCCGACCTTCAACTATGGCCCAACCGTCTACACCAAGCAGCAACGTGGGGCGGCGGGACGCGCTGGAGCGAGCTGCAGCGACGCGTGGCCGTCCGCGGCGGCGGCGCAGCTGCCCCGGCGATCCAGAGCACCTAAGAACCTAACTGGCTAGC